GCACAGGTGGTCACCTCTGGATAGATAATTAGCACAGGTGGTCCCCTCTGGATAGATAATTAGCACAGGTGGTCCCCTCTGGATAGATAATTAGCACAGGTGGTCCCCTCTGGATAGATAATTAGCACAGGTGGTCCCCTCTGGATAGATAATTAGCACAGGTGGTCCCCTCTGGATAGATAATTAGCACAGGTGGTCACCTCTGGATAGTTAATTAGCACAGGTGGTCACCTCTGGATAGATAATTAGCACAGGTGGTCACCTCTGGATAGATAATTAGCACAGGTGGTCACCTCTGGATAGATAATTAGCACAGGTGGTCACCTCTGGATAGATAATTAGCACAGGTGGTCACCTCTGGATAGATAACTAGCACAGGTGGTCCCCTCTGGATAGATAATTAGCACAGGTGGTCACCTCTGGATAGATAATTAGCACAGGTGGTCACCTCTGGATAGATAATTAGCACAGGTGGTCACCTCTGGATAGATAATTAGCACAGGTGGTCACCTCTGGATAGATAATTAGCACAGGTGGTCACCTCTGGATAGATAATTAGCACAGGTGGTCACCTCTGGATAGATAATTAGCACAGGTGGTCACCTCTGGATAGATAATTAGCACAGGTGGTCACCTCTGGATAGATAATTAGCACAGGTGGTCCCCTCGTCTTCCGTCTGTAACATGGAGATATGGCCGTGTGTATCCCACCTTGTGACACCAGCCTACTAGACGAGCTAAATTACTTCTATGCTCGCTTCGAGGCAAGCAACACTGAAGCATGCATGAGAGCACCAGCTGTTCCGGATGACTATGTGATCACGCTCTCCGTAGCCGATGTGAGTAAGACTTTTAAGCAGATCAACATTCACAAGGCCGCAGGGCCAGACGGATTACCAGGACGTGTACTCCGAGCATGTGCTGACCAACTGGCAAGTGTCTTCACCGACATTTTCAACATGTCCCTGACTGAGTCTGTAATACCAACATGTTTCAAGCAGACCACCATAGTCACCGTGCCCAAGGACACTAAGATAACCTGCCTAAATGACTACCGGCCCGTAGCACTGACGTCTGTAGCCATGAAGTGCTTTGAAAGTCATGGCTCACATCAACACCATTATCCCAGAAACCCTAGACCCACTCCAATTTGCATACCGCCCCAACAGATCCACAGATGATGCAATCTCTATTGCACTCCACACTGCCCTTTCCCACCTGGACAAGAGGAACACCTATGTGAGAATGCTATTCATTGACTACAGCTCAGCGGTCAACACCATAGTGCCCTCAAAGCTCATCACTAAGCTAAGGATTCTGGGACTAAACACCTCCCTCTGCAACTGGATCCTGGACTTTCTGACGGGCCGCCCCCAGGTGGTAAGGGTAGGTAACAACACATCTGCCACGCTGATCCTCAACACAGGGGCCCCTCAGGGGTGCGTGCTCAGTCCCCTCCTGTACTCCCTGTTCACCCATGACTGCATGGCCAGGCACGACTCCAACACCATCATTACGTTTGCCGACGACACAACAGTGGTAGGCCTGATCCCAGACAAAGATGAGACAGCCTATAGGGAGGTCAGAGACCTGGCCGTGTGGTGCCAGGATAACAACCTCTCCCTCAACGTGACTAAGACAAAGGAGATGATTGTGGACTACGGGGAAAAAAAGAGGACTGAGCACGCCCCCATTCTCATCGACAGGGCTGTAGTGGAACAGGTTGAGAGCTTCAAGTTCCTTGGTGTCCACATCACCAACGAACTATCATGGTCCAAACACACCAAGACAGTCGTGAAGAGGGCAAGACAAAGCCTATTCCCCCTCAGGAGACTGAAAAGATTTGGCATGGGTCCTCAGATCCTCAAAAAGTTATACAGCTGCACCATCGAGAGCATCCTGACTGGTTGCATCACTGCCTGGTAAGGCAACTGCTCGGCCTCCGACCGCAAGGCACTACAGAGGGTAGTGTGTACGGCCCAGTACATCACTGGGGCCAAGCTTCCTGCCATCCAGAACCTCTATACCAGGCGGTGTCAGAGGAAGAAAATTGTCGAGGACTCCAGACACCCAAGTCATATACTGTTCTCTCTGCTACCGCATGGCAAGCGGTACCGGAGCGCCAAGTCTAGGTCCAAAAGGCTTCTCAACAGCTTCTACCCCCAAGCCATAAGACTCCTGAACAGCTAATCATGGCTACCCGGACTATTTGCACTGCCCCCCCCCACCCCATCTTTTTACGCTGCTGCTACTCTGTTAATTATTTATGAATAGTCACTTTAACTCTATCCACATGTACATATTACTTCAACTACCTCAACTAGCCGGTGCCCCCGCACATTGACTCTGCACCGGTACCCCCCTGTATATAGCCTCCCTACCGTTATTTTATTTTACTTCTGCAACTTTTTTGTTGTTTTATTTTACTTTTTATTAAGAAATAATGCATTGTTGGTTAAGGGCTGTAAGTAAGCATTTCACTGTAATGTCTGCACCTGTTGTATTCGGCGCATGTGGCAAATAAAATGTGATTTGATCAATTGAATTTGTTTTATATATTTTTTTCACTGATATGAAAGATAAGGTCATTATGCTTCGAAAACCATACCGCAAAGCAACGCGTGTTAATGTTCAGATTGAGCGTTGGGGCTCTTAACAAAACTCCTGCTTACAGAAGACGCCTTCATCCAATGGCTCTTATGTGTAATGTATCATGATCAAGGGCACTGTATACATAAATTGCAGCAACATTGGATCCTGTTTCCTGTCTATGGTTGCAATTGCGTGGGTCAAACAAAAAAAACCTAGTGATTGGTTGACAATCACTCTACAAGGTGTTGAAAGTGTTCCACAGGGATGCTGGCCATGTTGACTCCAACGCTTCCCACAGGGATGCTGGCCCATGTTGACTCCCAACGCTTCCCACAGTTCTGTCAAGTTGGCTGGATGTCCTTTGGGTGGTGAACCATTCTTGATACACACAGGAAACTGTTGAGCGTGAAAAACCCAGCAGCGTTGCAGTTCTTGACACACTCAAACCGGTGCACCTGGCACGTACTACCATACCCCCGTTCAAAGCACAGGGGGTTGGTGGTACCTTAATAGGGGAGGACGGGCTGGTGGTAATGGCTGGAGCGGAATAGGGACGGGCTGGTGGTAATGGCTGGAGCGGAATAGGGACGGGCTGGTGGTAATGGCTGGAGCGGAATAGGGACGGGCTGGTGGTAATGGCTGGAGCGGAATAGGGACGGGCTCGTGGTAATGGCTGGAGCGGAATAGGGACGGGCTGGTGGTAATGGCTGGAGCGGAATAGGGACGGGCTGGTGGTAATGGCTGGAGCGGAATAGGGGACGGGCTGGTGGTAATGGCTGGAGTGGAATAGGGACGGGCTGGTGGTAATGGCTGGAGCGGAATCAGGGGAATGGTTGGGGAGGACGGGCTCGTGGTAATGGCTGGAGCGGAATCAGGGGAATGGTTGGGGAGGACGGGCTCGTGGTAATGGCTGGAGTGGAATCAGGGGAATGGTTGGGGAGGACGGGCTCGTGGTAATGGCTGGAGCGGAATCAGGGGAATGGTTGGGGAGGACGGGCTGGTGGTAATGGCTGGAGTGGAATCAGGGGAATGGTTGGGGAGGACGGGGCTCGTGGTAATGGCTGGAGTGGAATAGGTGGAAGGGTTGGGGAGGACGGGCTGGTGGTAATGGCTGGAGTGGAATAGGGACGGGCTGGTGGTAATGGCTGGAGTGGAATCAGGGGAATGGTTGGGGAGGACGGGCTCGTGGTAATGGCTGGAGCGGAATCAGGGGAATGGTTGGGGAGGACGGGCTGGTGGTAATGGCTGGAGCGGAATAGGGACGGGCTGGTGGTAATGGCTGGAGCGGAATCAGGGGAATGGTGGGGGAGGACGGGCTCGTGGTAATGGCTGGAGCGGAATCAGGGGAATGGTTGGGGAGGACGGGCTCGTGGTAATGGCTGGAGCGGAATCAGGGGAATGGTTGGGGAGGACGGGCTCGTGGTAATGGCTGGAGCGGAATCAGGGGAATGGTTGGGGAGGACGGGCTCGTGGTAATGGCTGGAGCGGAATCAGGGGAATGGTTGGGGAGGACGGGCTCGTGGTAATGGCTGGAGCGGAATCAGGGGAATGGTTGGGGAGGACGGGCTCGTGGTAATGGCTGGAGCGGAATCAGGGGAATGGTTGGGGAGGACGGGCTCGTGGTAATGGCTGGAGCGGAATCAGGGGAATGGTATCAGATACATTGAACACGTATTTTGATGCCATTCCATTCACTCCTTTCCAGACATTATTATGAGCCGTCCTCCCCTCAGCAGCCTCCTGTGGTTCAAAGGCCGTTCAATCTTTTGTCTTGCCCATTCACCCTCTGAATGGCACACATACACGATCCATGTCTCAATTGTCTCAAGGCGTAAAAATCCTTCTATAACCTGTCTCCTCCCCTTCATCTACACTGATTTGAAGTGGATTTAACAAGTGACATCAATAAGGGATCATAGCTTTCACCTGGATTCACCTGGTCAGTCTATGTCATGGAAAGAGCAGGTGTTCCTAATGTTTTGTACACTCAGTGTATACAATTAGTTATTCTAAGTATATTTGCTATAACTGTCTCGACATCATATTACTAACAATGACCAGCCAGTTGGGAAGAAATACAAAAAGGTTTAAGGAAAGTGGTTCATTTATTAGTGTAAAATATGGTTTAGTGTCAGTGACAGCTATACAATACAGCCCCAATGCAGGACAACACAATACAAACGATGACATATGAAAAGTATAGGAAGGACATTTCCCAAGATCACATAAGAGATCACATAAGAGATCACATAAGAGATCACATAAGAGATCACATAATGAGTAATTGTTTGAGCTGCAAGGTGATTCTGTAGCTCAGGCTGATTCCCTCCAACACGCACTCTGATTGTCAGGACTACACACCCATGGACCCACATAGTACTACATTTCCCATGATGCTCTGCTGATCACCAGCCGCGCGTGGGTGTCCACTTTCCCATCAGCCGGCCTTCAGAGTGGATGTAGTACACGGGATGCATCATGGCCGTCGCACACGCCTGGACACACACACCTACATTACACCTCTGACATGGAGTCAAAGTAGTGTACAATGACAACTCGTGTTAAAGTTACTGTGGTAGGGGATGAGTACTAATGTGGTAGGGGATGAGAGGATGTAGGGGATGAGTACTAATGTGGTAGGGGATGAGAGGATGTAGGGGATGAGTACTAATGTGGTAGGGGATGAGAGTAAGTAGGGGATGAGTACTAATGTGGTAGGGGATGAGAGGATGTAGGGGATGAGTACTAATGTGGTAGGGGATGAGAGTAAGTAGGGGATGAGTACTAATGTAGTAGGGGATGAGTACTAATGTGGTAGGGGATGAGAGTATGTAGGGGATGAGTACTAATGTAGTAGGGGATGAGTACTAATGTGGTAGGGGATGAGAGTAAGTAGGGGATGAGTAATAATGTAGTAGGGGATGAGTACTAATGTAGTAGGGGATGAGTACTAATGTAGTAGGGGATGAGTACTAATGTGGTAGGGGATGAGTACTAATGTGGTAGGGGATGAGTACTAATGTAGTAGGGGATGAGTACTAATGTAGTAGGGGATGAGAGTAAGTAGGGGATGAGTACTAATGTGGTAGGGGATGAGAGTAAGTAGGGGATGAGTACTAATGTGGTAGGGGATGAGAGTATGTAGGGGATGAGTACTAATGTGGTAGGGGATGAGAATGAGTAGGGGATGAGTACTAACGTGGTAGGGGATGAGAGTGAATAGGGGATGAGTTCTAACGTGGTAGGAGATGAGTGTGAATAGGGGATGCGTAAGGGATGAGTACTAATGCTGTAGGGGATGACTGAATAGGGGTTGAGTACTAATGCGGTAGGGGATGAGTAAGGGATGAGTACTCACATGGTAAGGTATAATAGTCAGTAGTGTTCCCAGGGGATATTGGCTGTAGTCCAGCTGTCCTGAGAGAGGCTCGACTCTGCCATGCTCCTGGGTCATAGACAACAACCTGCAGGGGGACAGACAGACACTGAGAGAGGCTCCACTCTGCCATGCTCCTGGGTCATAGACAACAACCTGCAGGGGGACAGACAGACACTGAGAGAGGCTCCACTCTGCCATGCTCCTGGGGTCATGGACAACAACCTGCAGGGGGACAGACAGACACTGAGAGAGGCTCCACTCTGCCATGCTCCTGGGGTCATAGACAACAACCTGCAGGGGGACAGACAGACACTGAGAGAGGCTCCACTCTGCCATGCTCCTGGGTCATAGACAACAACCTGCAGGGGGACAGACAGACACTGAGAGAGGCTCCACTCTGCCATGCTCCTGGGGTCATGGACAACAACCTGCAGGGGGACAGACAGACACTGAGAGAGGCTCCACTCTGCCATGCTCCTGGGTCATAGACAACAACCTGCAGGGGGACAGACAGACACTGAGAGAGGCTCCACTCTGCCATGCTCCTGGGGGTCATGGAAAACAACCTGCAGGGGGACAGACAGACACTGAGAGAGGCTCCACTCTGCAATGCTCATGGGGTCATAGACAACAACCTGCAGGGGGACAGACAGACACTGAGAGAGGCTCCACTCTGCCATGCTCCTGGGGTCATGGACAACAACCTGCAGGGGGACAGACAGACACTGAGAGAGGCTCCACTCTGCCATGCTCCTGGGGTCATAGACAACAACCTGCAGGGGGACAGACAGACACTGAGAGAGGCTCCACTCTGCCATGCTCCTGGGTCATAGACAACAACCTGCAGGGGGACAGACAGACACTGAGAGAGGCTCCACTCTGCCATGCTCCTGGGGTCATGGACAACAAACCTGCAGGGGGACAGACAGACACTGAGAGAGGCTCCACTCTGCCATGCTCCTGGGTCATAGACAACAACCTGCAGGGGGACAGACAGACACTGAGAGAGGCTCCACTCTGCCATGCTCCTGGGGTCATGGAAAACAACCTGCAGGGGGACAGACAGACACTGAGAGAGGCTCCACTCTGCAATGCTCATGGGGTCATAGACAACAACCTGCAGGGGGACAGACAGACACTGAGAGAGGCTCCACTCTGCCATGCTCCTGGGTCATAGACAACAACCTGCAGGGGGACAGACAGACACTGAGAGAGGCTCCACTCTGCCATGCTCCTGGGGTCATAGACAACAACCTGCAGGGAGACAGACAGACACTGAGAGAGGCTCCACTCTGCAATGCTCCTGGGTCATAGACAACAACCTGCATATCAGTTGTAGTACTGTAGTAGTATTGTAGTAGGTCAGGATGTCTATACTATGACAGTAGTAGTAATATCAGTCGTAGTACTGTAGTAGTATTGTAGTATTACCTGATGTCAGGATGTCCATCTATGACAGTAGTAGTAATATCAGTTGTAGTACTGTAGTAGTATTGTGGTAGTACTTAAGTAGTATTGTAGTATTACCTGAGGTCAGGATGTCCCTCTATGACAGCGTATCCGGTGGGCAGTTTCCCAGCTCCATCCAGACTGAAAGTGATAATAATAATAATAATAATAATAATAAACAACAGTACTGTGACAGAATATTATAGTAATAACAGTACTGTGACAGAATATTTTAGTAATAACAGTACTGTAACAGTAGTATTATAGTAATAACAGTACTATGACAGTATTATTATAGTAATAACAGTACTATGACAGTAGTATTATAGTAATAACAACAGTACTATGACAGTATTATAGTAATAACAGTACTGTGACAGTAGTATTATAGTAACAACAACAGTACTATGACAGTAGTATTATAGTAATAACAACAGTACTGTGACAGCAGTATTATAGTAATAACAACAGTACTATGACAGCAGTATTATAGAAATAACAACAGTACTATGACAGTAGTATTATAGTAACATCAACAGTACTGTGACAGCAGTATTATAGTAATAACAACAGTACTATGACAGCAGTATTATAGTAATAACAACAGTACTGTGACAGCAGTATTATAGTAATAACAACAGTACTATGACAGCAGTATTATAGTAATAACAGTACTGTGACAGCAGTATTATAGTAATAACAACAGTACTATGACAGCAGTATTATAGTAATAACAACAGTACTGTGACAGCAGTATTATAGTAATAACAACAGTACTATGACAGCAGTATTATAGTAATAACAACAGTACTATGACAGTAGTATTATAGTAATAACAACAGTACTATGACAGCAGTATTATAGTAATAACAACAGTACTGTGACAGCAGTATTATAGTAATAACAACAGTACTATGACAGCAGTATTATAGTAATAACAACAGTACTGTGACAGCAGTATTATAGTAATAACAACAGTACTGTGACAGCAGTATTATAGTAATAACAACAGTACTGTGACAGCAGTATTATAGTAATAACAGTACTGTGACAGCAGTATTATAGTAATAACAACAGTACTATGACAGTATTATAGTAATAACAGTACTGTGACAGTAGTATTATAGTAACAACAACAGTACTGTGACAGTAGTATTATAGTAATATCAACAGTACTGTGACAGCAGTATTATAGTAACAACAACAGTACTGTGACATCAGTATTATAGTAATAACAACAGTACTGTGACAGCAGTATTATAGTAATAACAGTACTATGACATAGTATTATAGTAATAACAACAGTACTGTGACAGTAGTATTATAGTAATAACAGTACTATGACAGCAGTATTATAGTAATAACAGTACTATGACAGTATTATTATAGTAATAACAGTACTATGACAGTAGTATTATAGTAATAACAGTACTATGACAGTAGTATTATAGTAATAACAGTACTATGACAGTAGTATTATAGTAATAACAATACTATGACAGTAGTATTATAGTAATAACAACAGTACTATGACAGTATTATAGTAATAACAACAGTACTGTGACAGCAGTATTATAGTAATAACAACAGTACTGTGACAGTAGTATTATAGTAATAACAACAGTACTGTGACAGTATTATTATAGTAATAACAACAGTACTGTGACAGTAGTATTATAGTAATAACAGTACTATGACAGTAGTATTATAGTAATAACAACAGTACTGTGACAGTATTATTATAGTAATAACAACAGTACTATGACAGTAGTATTATAGTAATAACAACAGTACTATGACAGTATTATAGTAATAACAACAGTACTGTGACAGTAGTATTATAGTAATAACAACAGTACAATGACAGCAGTATTATAGTAATAACAGTACTATGACAGTAGTATTATAGTAATAACAGTACTATGACAGTAGTATTATAGCAATAACAGTACTATGACAGTATTATTATAGTAATAACAGTACTGTGACAGTATTATTATAGTAATAACAGTACTGTGACAGTATTATTATAGTAATAACAGTAATGTGACAGTAGTATTATAGTAATAACAGTACTGTGACAGTAGTATTATAGTAATAACAACAGTACTGTGACAGTATTATTATAGTAATAACAGTACTGTGACAGTAGTATTATAGTAATAACAGTACTATGACAGTAGTATTATAGTAATAACAGTATTATTATAGTAATAACAGTACTATGACAGTAGTATTATAGTAATAACAGTACTATGACAGTATTATTATAGTAATAACAGTACTATGACAGTAGTATTATAGTAATAACAGTACTGTAACAGTAGTATTATAGTAATAACAGTACTATGACAGTATTATTATAGTAATAACAACAGTACTATGACAGTATTATTATAGTAATAACAGTACTATGACAGTATTAGTATAGTAATAACAGTACTGTGACAGTATTATTATAGTAATAACAGTACTGTGACAGCAGTATTATAGTAATAACAGTACTATGACAGTAGTATTATAGTAATAACAACAGTACTATGACAGTAGTATTATAGTAATAACAGTACTATGACAGTAGTATTATAGTAATAACAGTACTGTGACAGTAGTATTATAGTAATAACAGTACTATGACAGTATTATTATAGTAATAACAGTACTATGACAGTAGTATTATAGTAATAACAGTACTGTGACAGTAGTATTATAGTAATAACAGTACTGTGACAGCAGTATTATAGTAATAACAGTACTGTGACAGCAGTATTATAGTAATAACAGTACTATGACAGTATTATAGTAATAACAACAGTACTGTGACAGTAGTATTATAGTAATAACAACAGTACTATGACAGTAGTATTATAGTAATAACAGTACTGTGACAGTAGTATTATAGTAATAACAACAGTACTATGACAGTAGTATAATAGTAACAACAGTACTATGACAGTAGTATTATAGTAATAACAGTACTGTGACAGTAGTATTATAGTAATAACAGTACTATGACAGTATTATTATAGTAATAACAGTACTATGACAGTAGTATTATAGTAATAACAGTACTATGACAGTATTATTATAGTAATAACAGTACTATGACAGTAGTATTATAGTAATAACAGTACTATGACAGTATTATAGTAATAACAACAGTACTGTGACAGTAGTATTATAGTAATAACAACAGTACTATGACAGTATTATTATAGTAATAACAGTACTGTGACAGTAGTATTATAGTAATAACAACAGTACTATGACAGTAGTATTATAGTAACAACAGTACTATGACAGTAGTATTATAGTAATAACAGTACTATGACAGTATTATTATAGTAATAACAGTACTGTGACAGTAGTATTATAGTAATAACAGTACTATGACAGTATTATTATAGTAATAACAGTACTGTGACAGTAGTATTATAGTAATAACAGTACTATGACAGTATTATTATAGTAATAACAACAGTACTATGACAGTATTATTATAGTAATAACAGTACTATGACAGTATTATTATAGTAATAACAGTACTATGACAGTATTATTATAGTAATAACAACAGTACTGTGACAGTAGTATTATAGTAATAACAGTACTATGACAGTATTATTATAGTAATAACAACAGTACTATGACAGCAGTATTATAGTAATAACAGTACTATGACAGTAGTATTATAGTAATAACAGTACTATGACAGTATTATAGTAATAACAACAGTACTGTGACAGTAGTATTATAGTAATAACAACAGTACTATGACAGTAGTATTATATTAATAACAGTACTGTGACAGTAGTATTATAGTAATAACAGTACTGTGACAGTAGTATTATAGTAATAACAACAGTACTATGACAGTAGTATTATAGTAATAACAGTACTATGACAGTAATATTATAGTAATAACAGTACTGTGACAGTAGTATTATAGTAATAACAGTACTATGACAGTATTATTATAGTAATAACAGTACTGTGACAGTAGTATTATAGTAATAACAGTACTATGACAGTATTATTATAGTAATAACAGTACTGTGACAGTATTATTATAGTAATAACAACAGTACTGTGACAGTATTATTATAGTAATAACAACAGTACTGTGACATTAGTATTATAGTAATAACAGTACTATGACAGTAGTATTATAGTAATAACAGTACTATGACAGTATTATAGTAATAACAGTACTGTGACAGTATTATTATAGTAATAACAGTACTGTGACAGCAGTATTATAGTAATAACAGTACTATGACAGTATTATTATAGTAATAACAGTACTATGACAGTATTATAGTAATAACAGTACTGTGACAGCAGTATTATAGTAATAACAGTACTATGACATTAGTATTATAGTAATAACAGTACTGTGACAGTATTATTATAGTAATAACAGTACTGTGACAGTAGTATTATAGTAATAACAGTACTATGACAGTATTATTATAGTAATAACAGTACTATGACAGTATTATTATAGTAATAACAGTACTGTGACAGTAGTATTATAGTAATAACAGTACTATGACAGTATTATTATAGTAATAACAGTACTATGACAGTATTATTATAGTAATAACAGTACTATGACAGTATTATTATAGTAATAACAGTACTATGACAGTATTATTATAGTAATAACAGTACTGTGACAGCAGTATTATAGTAATAACAGTACTATGACAGTATTATTATAGTAATAACAGTACTATGACAGTATTATTATAGTAATAACAGTACTATGACAGTATTATTATAGTAATAACAGTACTGTGACAGCAGTATTATAGTAATAACAGTACTATGACAGTAGTATTATAGTAATAACAGTACTATGACAGTAGTATTATAGTAGTAACAACAGTATTTAATAGAGCTGTAGTACCTGAGAGCGGACCAGCCACAGTCAAGGAGCAGCTGGTTTCTGTGAGGAGAGTGACCTATGACCCTGCTCAGAACCCTGACAGCCACGTCCTCCAGACTGCACGAACCAATCACAGACTGCTGCACGTCTACAGGAAGCACAGCAGCCAATCAGAAAACAACACTGCTTTCTACTACTATAGATCTATTGTGGTCACACACGGACACACACATACTGACCGAAGAAGACGTAGTTCCCAGGATGCACCTCGCTGAGCTTGGCCATGTCACTGATTGGCTGGCTGCAGGAGGGGGTGGAGCCTATACTGGACTTACAGCTGATACCCACAGCCTTTAGTCTGGAGAGAGAGAGAGACGTGTGTGTCTTCGTGTGTGTCTTTGTGTGTGTGTGTCTTTGTGTGTGTGTGTGTGTGTCTTTGTGTGTGTGTCTGTGTCTTTGGTGTGTGTGTGTGTGTGTCTGTGTGTGTGTCCTTTGTGTGTGTGTGTGTGTGTGTGTCTGTGTGTGTCTTTGTGTGTGTGTGTTGTCTTTGTGTGTGTGTGTGTGTCTTTGTGTGTGGTGTTCTTTGTGTCTTGTGTGTGTGTGTGTCTTTGTGTGTGTGTGTGTCATTTGTGTGTGTGGTGTTGTCATTGTGTGTGTGTGTGTGTGTGTGTGTGGGTGTGTGTCTTGTGTGGTGTCTTTGGTTGTGGTGTCTTTGTGTGGGTGTGTGTCTTTGTGTGTGTGTGTCTTTGTGTGTGTGTGTCTTTGTGTGTGTGTGTCTTTGTGTGTGTGTGTGTCTTTGTGTGTGTGTGTGTGTCTTTGTGTGTGTGTGTGTGTCTTTGTGTGTGTGTGTGTTCTTTGTGTGTGTGTGTGTGTCTTTGTGTGTGTGTGTGTCTTTGTGTGTGTGTGTGTCTTTGTGTGTGTGTGTCTTTGTGTGTGTGTGTGTGTCTTTGTGTGTGTGTGTGTCTTACTTCTCCATGAACTGCAGTACGAGGGTGGTTGTTTCCTGGGCAACAGCGTGTATTTGCTCTGCCCCTCTGCAGCCATAGGTGTTCCCACAGTGGGCGTACACCCCCACCAGCTCCACCCCCTCTGACTCAGAGATGGCCTGGGCCAATCGCAGTGCCTCTGGCTCCGAGTGCAGAACACCCGCTACAAAACAGAACCACGGTGTGTTCAGTTCGCTTCAAGGTTTGCTACGTTGCATTACAGTTTGTCCTGAATGGCCCGTCTCCCCTAAACGGTGCACATCGTTCCTCAACCCCCTTTAAAGGTACGTTTGCTCCCCTTTGGTGGGTGTGGCCTGATCGATATGGGTGTGTCCATTTGAAATCACATCACTACAGACCGCGGTTTGATTCCAGGCTGTATCACAATACGGCCTTGATTGGGAGTCCCATAGGGCGGCATATAATTGGCCCAGCGTCGTCCGGGTTTGGCCGGGGTAGGCCGTCATTGTAAAAAATAAATTTGTTCTGTCCCGTGTAGCTCAGTTGGTAGAGCATGGCGCTTGCAACGCCAGGGTTGTGGGTTCGATTCCCACGGTGGGCCAGTATGAAAAATGTATGCATTCACTAACTGTAAGTGGCTCTGGATAAGAGCGTCTGCTAAATGACTAAAATGTAGTAACTGTCAACGTTGCACACAATTTTATCGTACTGAACACAACCCAGAACCACGTTCAGTAGCACAACCCAGAACCACGTTCAGTAGCACAACCCAGAACCACGTTCAGTAGCACAACCCAGAACCACGTTCAGTAGCACAACCCAGAACCACGTTCAGTAGCACAACCCAGAACCACGTTCAGTAGCACAACCCAGAACCACGTTCAGTAGCACAACCCAGAACCACGTTCAGTAGCACAACCCAGAACCACGTTCAGTAGCCAAACGTTGATGAAAGTTGCGGATAGAAATTCCATGAATGGAGCTGACGTGATTCCTTATTCTACGTGTCGGAGAGGCATGGAGCTGCCGTGATTCCTTATTCTACGTGTCAGAGAGGCATGGAGCTGCCGTGATTCCTTATTCTACGTGTCAGAGAGGCATGTTTGTTCTACATAGCATATTCCTATCTGAACGTTATAAAACGTTGCGTCCTTCTGAACGTGCCCCTGGGTCAAATACTTCCGAATACTTCAGTTGCACTTGATTTGGAACCAATGGAATAGTAAACACCAAACCAATCAAGTGCACCTCGAATACTTTCAAGTATCTTACTTTCAAAATCAAATCAAACTTTATTTATATAGCATATTTCACACAATAAGATATTTGACATACTGTTGACCCAGGTCTGAAGGAACAGAACAGCAAAGCATTCTCGAACGCCATAATAGCGTTCTAGAACATTCTAACATTCTAGAACCCGCTCTCACCTCTTCCGTTGTCACAGTCCAGTTTGAGCCAGACGTGCCACACCCCTCCGTCTGTCAGTGGGCTCTTCCTCAGCTCCTCCAGAGCATCTCTGTGGTCCAACAACACCTGGAACAGAGACAGACGCTCTGCCAGCACGGCACAGCGCTCAACCTTACACACACACACACAGGCACACACAGACACGCACACAGGCACACACAGGCACACACAGGCACACACACACACACGCACACAGACACGCACAGACACACACACAGGCACACACACACACAGACACGCACAGAGGCACACACAGGCACACACAGGCACACACAGGCACAGTTTAATGGTGTTGGATAGATAGTGGAAGGGCACAGAGTAGGTAAGTAGCAGCTAGCTGTACAGTTAGTGTGTAGGCAATGAGGTAGTAGCAAAACGCTGGCCGCCGTTTGCAGTGATTAACGTAACAAGACTTTTCATGCATTTCTCAGCAAAAGGTAGGTTCATTAAAAAAGGTGTGTAAACAGCACTTACCCTCCACTATGGAAGCTAGGGTGTAGTGTGGAGGGGTTAGGGTGTGTATGGAAGTTAGGGTGTAGTGTGGAGGGGTTAGGGTGTAGTGTGTAGGGGTTAGGGTGTGTATGGAAGTTAGGGTGTAGTGTGTAGGGGTTAGGGTGTGTATTGAAGTTAGGGTGTAGTGTGGAGGGGTTAGGGTGTGTATGGAAGTTAGGGTGTAGTGTGGAGGGGTTAGGGTGTAGTGTGTAGGGGTTAGGGTGTGTATGGAAGTTAGGGTGTGTTAGGTGGTGTAGGGGTTAGGGGTGTGTGATGGAGTTAGGGTGTAGTGTGGAGGGGTTAGGGTGTGTGTGGAGGGGTTAGGGTTGGTGTAGTGTGGAGTGGGTTAGGGTGTAGTGGAGGGGTTAGGTGTGTGTGGAGGGGTTAGGGTGTGTGTGAGTGGTTGGTGGGGTTAGGGTAGGTAGTGTGGGAGGGTGTTAGGGGTTGGGTATTGGTTTTGTAGGTGGTGTAGGGGGTTAGGGTTGTTTATGGAAGTTAGGGTGTAGTGTGGAGGGGTTAGGGGTTTGTGTAGTGGTTAGGGTTAGTGTGTGTATGGTGGAGGGGTTAGGGTGTAGTTAGTGTAGGGGTAGCGGGTTATGTAGTGTCTAGGGGTTAGGGTGTAGTGTGGAGGGGTTAGGGTGTAGTGTGGAGGGGTTAGGGTGTAGTGTGGAGGGGTTAGGGTGTGTACCTTGTCAAAGGGAACAGAGTAGGCATACAGGATGTCGTCATATCCGTGGTCGGCATAGAAACTGGCTTCTGCCAGTGTTGACACGACGATACAACTCCTAGACCCACCTGTCATTATATCACCACACTCACAACACACACACACACACACACACACACACAGTTCTGGTCTCTTATTGTGTTTGTGTGTGTGTGTGTGTGTGTGTGTGTGTCTTACAGGGTCTTGTGTGTGTGTGTGTGTGTGTGTGTCTTACAGGGTCTTGTGTGTCTTCATGTGTGGTCGTAGTGTGACTCCTAGCTTGGTCCAACGTTCTCTCATTTTCTCAGCATTCCTCTTCACTATATCAACATCCACAACCATGACAGGAGTACACAGGGTGGTTATATGGTCCCCGTCCATCCCACTACACACACACACACACACACACACACACACACACACACACAGCAGTGTCAAATCTATCTCTAACCTGTCGATGGGGTCGAAAGTATAACCTGTAGCCTAAAACTGAACCTACATCTTTAGAAATACAGACATTTTTACAACCTGAACGCCACTGGAACTAACAGAGCAATACAATGATAAAAGGCTATCTGAATCTAACTAGGCTACTTTACTCTTGAATGATGTTTTCAGATATTGGTGCACAATAACTTTGAAAATCTTACACAGTAATTATATTTGTGCGCACGACTTCACACTCAGCAGCCTAGGCAGCTGATACTGGCTGCTAGATCTGCGCTATCTCAGGGCTACCAACTTATGAAGAAACCTTGGAGTGAGATTTGCTATGTGAATTTCACTGCCCCCTGACACAACCCCTGGATGGGGGACTGGGGTCCTCCATCAGGAACATTTTACTGTTTTATAGCTCATTTCCTGCAATTCTACGTATTTTGACATGGCTTAGGCCTGTGACCAGGGGGGGAATAAAAACCACAGGTCAGGTGGATGCTTTGAACATTAAATGAACATTCAACATTTGATGACTTTGTTACTTTGAGATTTTTACATTTACGTATGCTAATATTTTGTAAACATATTTTTTTTTTACGTGGGTTTGTCACTTTGTTCAGACAGTAATGAAATGAGATAGGGAGACAGGCTAATGTTAGAAACCGTGGGAAGGCCGGAAGCAGGGATGAAACTCTATTCTCAGGTGTTAAGTTGTATGCACAGGGGAGGGGAGTGTTATCACTACGCCAAGGCTCTGCACAGGACATTTTTATATTAATGGTTGATGGCCGTTGGTAAACCAAATCATAGATTGATTGCAGTGTCCTTGTAGAGATGCTTTCATGGTAAGGTCGCAAACATTTTGTATTTTGGGTGAACTATCTCTTTAAAATAGGGCAAATGTCTCTAAATCACCCAACCTTCAAGAAAAATCTAATGAATATAAATATTCAGGTGGTTTATTCCTACTAGTTGAAGATCCCAGTCTTCACCTTACTCTGCACAGACACGATATGATGTTTATGAGTTGTGAGGCCCCCTACCGTCTCTGCTTAGCATGTACACGGTACTAAAATGTCCAAAATGATATTTGATTCCTGGAGCAGTTTAATATCCAATGCTTATTTGTATGACTTATTCAAAACTGTCCATGAATGGCTGCAAAAATACATATCCTCATATAAATCATTTTTAAAAGACACAAGTAGGCATGTCAGATTTCCTATGTGATTACACTGGCAACACTGGGAAGAAGTGGAATAATAACATATATATGGGGAATAACAGTGTTCTTGCTGACAAGCACACTATATTATAAACTGTATTATATTATAAACGTCTCCTGAGTGGCGCAGTGGTCTAAGGCACTGCTTCGCAGTGCTAACTGTGCCACTAGAGATCCTGGTTCGAATCCAGGCTCTGTCGCAGCCGGCCGCGACCGGGAGACTCATGGGCGGCGCACAATTGGCCCAGCGTCGTCCAGGGTAGGGGAGGGAATGGCCGGCAGGGATGTAGCTCAGTTGATAGAGCATGGCGTTTGCAACGCCAGGGTTGTGGGTTCGATTCCCACGGGGGGCCAGTATAAAAATAAAAATAAAAGTATTCACTAACTGTAAGTCGCTCTGGATAAGGGCGTCTGCTAAATGACTCAAATGTAATGTAAATGTTATAGCCCATTGTTAAGAATGAGAATTGTTCCACTGATCAGACTAAATAAAGTAAATAGATAATAAAATATCCTGAAGACTAGATGACATGAATCTGCCCCTAAACCCTAACCAAATTATGTTCCTATCTATTGTCCCCCCTCTAGAATCAAACTTACACTTTTGGGTTCACAACCTGTTTGACAAAATTATTTTCATAGTTCCAAATCAGGTCACCGAACTTCCTGCTAAAACATCCTGTAGGTGTGTCAGCTGCCTGATCGTAAAACATCCTGTAGGTCTGTCAGCTGCCTGATCGTAAAACATCCTGTAGGTCTGTCAGCTGCCTGATCGTAAAACATCCTGTAGGTCTGTCAGCTGCCTGATCGTAAAACATCCTGTAGGTGTGTCAGCTGCCTGATCGTAAAACATCCTGTAGGTGTGTCAGCTGCCTGATCGTAAAACATCCTGTAGGTCTGTCAGCTGCCTGATCGTTGTCACGGCCTAAACCCCAATCACCAAACGAGGAGATTTATGCAAATGTCGATTAAATCTACTTTAGTACATGCTGTTAAAAGGCTGCATTCTGCAATAGAGACGGGAGTAACAGCAATCTAACTTTGTTAACAACATTGTACATTAAACACCACTACGGTGCTGCTCTTTTTACAGTGTTATAAAGTCAGTGGAGAACGATCTCTCTCTCCATTCAACCCCACACTAATGTTGAGGGGCGTTTCTTTAAAACATGCATCCAATCCCCTTGATCCCTTCCATAACTAGACCAATCATATGCTTCAACGTGTCGCGGTTATCAGCGCTGTGGCGTCAGACAGGACAATGATAAAGGTTCCGCTCGTCATGTTAAATTGCAGGCGCAGATGCTCCGATTTCAAAACGATTTGGAGCGCAGTTCAAATTTAACACGCTGACACAATGGACTAATTAGAAAGAGCGTGAAAAGAGGGTCAAATGCGTGTCACACGTCTAGGATTGATGTGCATTCCTGGTAATACACTCCTGTTCACTGTGGACCGCCTCGTACAAAAAGCATCCATTCAGGCTGCAAAGGCCTCATTTTCCTCCTTAACTAGCTAGCCTTAACGGCGAGCCGCCGGAAGAAAAAAAACGGGTAAAAATGTGTACTGTCTTAATAAAACAATTTTCCACCACCATTTTCGGACAATTTATGATGTTGCACACCCTTGGCTGAACGCGGTGTGCAACAACCTAAATTGCCTGAGAATCCGAAAATGGAGGTGAAAATTGTGTTTTATTACTTCGTAAACATACTCACAAAAATCAGTCTCCTGTCCAGCGCGGCTGAGATTAATTGCACAGATACAAATCTTTATTCCAGATGTAAACTACCTACCTCACACTGCTCAACCACCTGATGAGCTGTGGTCAGTTTCAATTGTATGGTGTCCCTGCTTGACCAAACATAGCTGAGGGAGAGCACGTCCTCTTTGACCAATCAGCTTCAGCCACACATTCTGACTATGGTGCAATCTGTAGTTCGTTTTTCAGCCAAACGGAAGCCCCGCCACTTTTTTCTTCACATTCGTATCTCTATAACAGAGCCTTGGTCAGTTTGTCTTACCGCCTTAAAGGTTATATGTTTTTACTAAGTTATTACTGTGTCATTTCTGTAATATGTATGCATTCAATGAAGTATCAATTGTTACTACTGGTTACTACTACTGGCTAGTGACATTATTAGCAGTTAGTGATACTGTTATGGTATTTATAGTGATCTGTAGGAGGTGTTTTAAAGGGGAATGGAAACACTTTAGGAAGTACAGCTAAACAAAGAGATGTATTCAATCCACTAATACCAAACATGTGCATTTAACATAGAAACATCTCTATTTTTAGGATTTTGATATTGAATAAAGTTTATTAGAGGTATGGGTAGCGGCGTCTTGAATTGCCATAGTAACGATTGATGCCAATGCTTCTTCATTGACAGGATTGAGACAATTGTGAGTTTTGCTGCTTGTTTGACCAGACCAATAGAAGGCCTAGGCCTATTTTGTTTCAGACCCACGAAGATGACAACGTTTTATTTTCCCTTTCACAAAGTTATGCAGAGAGTAACCAAGACACTGTCTTAAATACACTTTCTTAAAAGTGCTGTCTTAAATACACTGTCTTAAATACACTGTCTTAAAGGTGCTGTCTTAAATACACTGTCTTAAAGGTGCTGTCTTAAAGGTGCTGTCTTAAATACACTGTCTTAAAGGTGCTGTCTTAAAGGTGCTGTCTTAAAGGTGCTGTCTTAAAGGGGCACACAGGTCTGCTCTGACTTACTTTATATTGTTATTGTTCTATCTATTTGTTCATGCTTATTTCCAAGTGAGAAAGGTCTCGTTACTCTATTTTTATTTTTTGTTTATTTTTATTTTTTTATATGCGCTTAAAATAGTATGTACCTCTTTCTCTATAAAAAACAACTCAGAATAGTCCCTGATTACACTAAAAAGGGTTTCTATTCTCTCATTACTGTAAACTTCTTTAGGACTACAACACCGTTACATTTACATTTACATTTTAGTCATTTAGCAGACGCTCTTATCCAGAGCGACTTACAGGAGCAATTAGGGTTAAGTGCCTTGCTCAAGGGCACATTAACGTCATTTAGCAGACGCTCTTAGCCAGAGCGACTCACAAATTGGTGCGTTCACCCTATAGCCAGTGGGATAACCACTTTACAATTTGGAATTAGAAGGAATACTTTATCCTATCCCAGGTATTCCTTAAAGAGGTTACAATAGGATCATTACTGTAAACGTATTTAGGCCTTCAACACAGTTACAATAGGATCATTACTGTAAACGTATTTAGGCCTTCAACACAGTTACAATAGGATCATTACTGTAAACGTATTTAGGCCTTCAACACAGTTACAATAGGATCATTACTGTAAACGTATTTAGGCCTTCAACACAGCTACAATAGAATCATTACTGAAATCCAGGTGCAATACAGATGTGTTCAAACACACTCACACACAAATAAGACACAGGTCTGGTTTCACCACAGCTGGCTTTATTACATAATGTTCAGTTTACAACAAATGCATTTTCAGTGTGTGTGTGCATGTCTGTGTGTGTGTGTTGGGTATAGGTGTGGGAGTGTGTGTGTGAGAGAGAGAGATGTGTCTAAATGAGTCTGGTTCCCTGAACTAGAATAATAACGTATAAAGAGGCACTTCTATTGAAATTACAAAGTTTGAAAAACGTAACTGTTTAAAAATGAAGACTGTTTGAAAAACGGAGTTGACTGTTTACGTTAAGACTGTAGAATGTGTGTATGTAACTCCTTCACTAGAATAGCACCTTTAGTGTAAAATACAAACCTCACAGTGAGGGATCTCTTCTAGAAACACAATACAGACCTCACAGTGAGGGATCTCTTCTAGAAACACAATGCAGACCTCACAGTGAGGGATCTCTTCTAGAAACACAATACAAAGAAAACAACTACAGAAAAATAGACTTACAATTGCAACCTCTTTTACACTTCAGTATCAGTAACTCTCTGATGAGAGAGGCTTTGGTTGTTTGGCTTAGCTAGTTAAAGGTGAAATCTGTAATTTAATTAATTAAAAAGAAATGCCTTGTGTCTCTTGGACGAGCTAGAAGTTCAGCTTCCAAGTTCCGCAATTTTTTACTTAAATCTGGCAAACCACAGAGCACCTTCACATCTGAGAACACATCAATTTGTTTGTTTATTCATTACTAAAAATATTCTTACGGATTGCACCTTTAACTGTTCGTTAGAACACAGCTCGTTAGCTGATTAGCAGACCCAGCGGATGAAGCGTTCGAAGAAGGTAGGTTTCCCCAGCGTGGCATAGTCCTCCCCTCTAAAGATGGCTGATGTGTCACCCAGGGCAACCTTATTCAGCACGTCCTGGTCCGTGTCAGTCCCCATGGCGATCACCGTGGGAACACCCTCAGCCCGCCGCATGGCCGACACGCCCTCCTCCAGGCTGTCGCTGGCAGTGATGCCGTCAGTGATGAAGACAAACGACAGCTCTGCATTACGCCGCGCCAGACGGCTCCCCTGTAGAACACACAGAGACAGTATAGTTATACAGTGTTAGGACGTGGCAGACGGCTGTCCACACAGAGACAGTATAGTTATACAGTGTTAGGACGCGCCAGACGGCTGTCCACACAGAGACAGTATAGTTATACAGTGTTAGGACGCGCCAGATGGCTGTCCACACAGAGACAGTATAGTTATACAGTGTTAGGACGTGGCAGATGGCTGTCCACACAGAGACAGTATAGTTATACAGTGTTAGGACGCGCCAGACGGCTGTCCACACAGAGACAGTATAGTTATACAGTGTTAGGACGTGGCAGATGGCTGTCCACACAGAGACAGTATAGTTATAGAGTGTTAGGACGTGGCAGATGGCTGTCCACACAGAGACAGTATAGTTATACAGTGTTAGGACGCGCCAGACGGCTGTCCACACAGAGACAGTATAGTTATACAGTGTTAGGACGTGGCAGATGGCTGTCCACACAGAGACAGTATAGTTATACAGTGTTAGGACGCGCCAGACGGCTCCCCTGTAGAACACACAGAGACAGTATAGTTATACAGTGTTAGGACGCGCCAGACGGCTGTCCACACAGAGACAGTATAGTTATACAGTGTTAGGACGCGGCAGATGGCTGTCCACACAGAGACAGTATAGTTATACAGTGTTAGGACGTGGCAGATGGCTGTCCACACAGAGACAGTATAGTTATACAGTGTTAGGACGCGGCAGACGGCTGTCCACACAGAGACAGTATAGTTATACAGTGTTAGGACGTGGCAGATGGCTGTCCACACAGAGACAGTATAGTTATAGAGTGTTAGGACGTGGCAGATGGCTGTCCACACAGAGACAGTATAGTTATACAGTGTTAGGACGCGCCAGACGGCTGTCCACACAGAGACAGTATAGTTATACAGTGTTAGGACGTGGCAGATGGCTGTCCACACAGAGACAGTATAGTTATACAGTGTTAGGACGCGCCAGACGGCTCCCCTGTAGAACACACAGAGACAGTATAGTTATACAGTGTTAGGACGCGGCAGACGGCTGTCCACACAGAGACAGTATAGTTATACAGTGTTAGGACGTGGCAGACGGCTGTCCACACAGAGACAGTATAGTTATACAGTGTTAGGACGCGGCAGATGGCTGTCCACACAGAGACAGTATAGTTATACAGTGTTAGGACGCGCCAGACGGCTGTCCACACAGAGACAGTATAGTTATACAGTGTTAGGACGCGGCAGATGGCTGTCCACACAGAGACAGTATAGTTATACAGTGTTAGGACGCGCCAGACGGCTGTCCACACAGAGACAGTATATCTATACAGTGTTAGGACGTGGCAGATGGCTGTCCACACAGAGACAGTATAGCTATAGGTTGTTGACGTTGTGTTGTGCGTGCGTGTACCTGTGACATCACCAGGTTATTGACAGCGTGTATGATGGCGCTGCCCAGAGAGGAGGCGGAGTCCATGTAGCTCATCCCAGCCAGCGAATCAGCGATCACCGTCAGATTGTGTGTGAGCGAAAACTCAACCCTCTGTTCTGATTGGCTGCCATATTGCAGCAGGGCGATGCGGGCATTCCTGTCGTCTGATTCGCCATTGGCCAGAGTGAGGCGGCGAGCCACGTTCTCGATGAACTCCTTGGCGCGGCGGTGGTTCTCCACTCCCATCCTCTCTGACCCGTCCAGCATGAACACAAGGTCCACGGGGCGCTGCACACAGTTGGCCACCGCTGGTTCTGAAACACACACAGGCATACACCCGTTGGAGCGTCACACACACACACACACACACACACACACACACACACACACACACACACACACACACACACATCTATTTGAACTATGAACATACAGACACACACCAACACACGTTAACTTGCAAACACACTGTCACACAAACACACTCTGTCACACAAACACACCCTGTCACACAAACACTCTGTCACACAAACACAGCACACAGCTGACAACAGCTGGCTCAGAAACACAACAGCTTGATAACATCATCTGTCTAGTCTGAGCGAAGAGGAAGTTGACTGGCTGTCTAGTCTGAGCGAAGAGGAAGTTGACTGGCTGTCTAGTCTGAGCGAAGAGGAGAGGAGGAAGTTGACTGGCTGTCTAGTCTGAGCGAAGGGGAAGTTGACTGGCTGTCTAGTCTGAGCGAAGAGGAAGTTGACTGGCTGTCTAGTCTGAGCGAAGAGGAAGTTGACTGGCTGTCTAGTCTGAGCGAAGGGGAAGTTGACTGGCTGTCTAGTCTGAGCGAAGAGGAGAGGAGGAAGTTGACTGGCTGTCTAGTCTGAGCGAAGAGGAAGTTGACTGGCTGTCATCCAGTGTTTACATGTTTGCTCCATGCCCCCCCCCCCCCCAAAATGGCATCCCTACCATGTATAGGAATTAAAGAACCAACATGTATAAGGAGAACTGCAGGGGTCCAAGTACCGAACCCAGAGGAACACCTCATCATTTGTTTTGGGTGCTCAGATAATTCAGCCAGCAGGGAACATAATTACTATCTATCTAGGTCTTCAGCCAGCAGGGAACATAATTACTATCTAGCTAGGTCTTCAGCCAGCAGGGAACATAATTACTATCTAGCTAGGTCTTCAGCCAGCATGGAACATAATTACTATCTATCTAGGTCTTCAGCCAGCATGGAACATAATTACTATCTAGCTAGGTCTTCAGCCAGCAGGGAACATAATTACTATCTAGCTAGGTCTTCAGCCAGCAGGGAACATAATTACTATCTAGCTAGGTCTTCAGCCAGCATGGAACATAATTACTATCTAGCTAGGTCTTCAGCCAGCAGGGAACATAATTACTATCTAGCTAGGTCTTCAGCCAGCAGGGAACATAATTACTATCTAGCTAGGTCTTCAGCCAGCAGGGAACATAATTACTATCTAGCTAGGTCTTCAGCCAGCAGGGAACATAATTACTATCTAGCTAGGTCTTCAGCCAGCAGGGAACATAATTACTATCTATCTAGGTCTTCAGCCAGCAGGGAACATAATTACTATCTATCTAGGTCTTCAGCCAGCAGGGAACATAATTACTATCTAGCTAGGTCTTCAGCCAGCAGGGAACATAATTACTATCTAGCTAGGTCTTCAGCCAGCAGGGAACATAATTACTATCTAGCTAGGTCTTCAGCCAGCATGGAACATAATTACTATCTAGCTAGGTCTTCAGCCAGCATGGAACATAATTACTATCTAGCTAGGTCTTCAGCCAGCAGGGAACATAATTACTATCTAGCTAGGTCTTCAGCCAGCATGGAACATAATTACTATCTAGCTAGATCTTCAGCCCACTAGCTCCCCGCCCACTCGGCCCACTAGCTCCCCGCCCACTCGGCCCACTAGCTCCCCGCCCACCCAGTCTGTCTTTTCAGACTGCCTGGTAGTTTGACATGAAAAATAAATGTTTATTTCTCAAATATTTACCATCTTGATCAGGAAAAAAATATTGCAGGTGATGTTTTAGTCACTTAAAAGGTTATTTTACTTGGTAATCTGAATGACTGTTCGGGATCTTTAACACAGCTGTGACCTATCACTGGAGGATGGTTGGTAGCAGACTCAGAGATACAACAACAACATGACTCCTTGTTTCCCTTTGCACTATTGATTTATTTCACATAGGCAAACATGACAGGTAAGGAAAACATATATTCTCTACTAAAAATACATGATCATATCTTTAAGATATTCTCTCTATAGGATATTGTTAATCCAATAATACTTATATTTAGCTGAAGCTAAGCATGTTGCAGTCTCAGAGCTAAGATAATACAGTAAACTTCTCTCTTTTAAAACATTCTCTGTTTTCACTGTCTAACACCCCCCACTTCACATGCACATCAAACAATACCAGATGGATACAGTAATTGTTATTTTTTTAAAGCAATTATTATTCGTTTTTTTGTTTTATTAAATGTATTTAATTCACTTAAATGTAGGTTTATCCAACAGATCATGTCCGTTCAATAAATTATCTACCCATCACATACCCAATAATCCCATAGGCCTAACATGTAATGCCCATAACCAACCCAAACACTAACATTCACAGAAAACTAAAATGGCTGCTGTAACTATGGCGATGTGCAAAACTGCAAAACGGTATCTTTGTGGAATCATACAGTGATTCAGCAAGTGGTTCGAGGGATTTGAGTGGTTCACAGTGGTAAATGGGTTCAACATCACAGCCATATACAAAATACTGAACTGTCTTAAGTGTCTAAAACTGCAGGTCCAACTAAACAGGCTTTAAAAACCCCAGATCCAGAGCAGTAGCTAATCACTCACCTTAAGAACAAGCTTAGAGATGTTAGCGGCATAACTTACCACCTGCCTGAAAGCTTATCCACTCTGGCCATATAACTAACAATGTTAGCATCCTCCCAGAGCTATGCACAATAACAAAAAGATGAATCTAATATGTTTAAAATATTCCAAGCGATATTAGTCTATTAGGCAAAAACCTCAAACTGATCGCATAGATCTAACACTATTAGCATAAAACATTAGCACAGAGCTTACACTTAGCATATAGCTAACAATATTAGCATTAAGCTGACAATATAAGCACAGAGCTAGCACTCCTAATCCATTAGTTAGCACTGTTAGCTAATTAGCTAGCATCGTTAGCACATTAGTCAGCAACTTTAGCTCATCAGCTAGCGTTGTTAGCTAGCTAGCTAGCACTTTTAGCCCGTTAGCACAGCCCCAGTGCTTTGGCTGGGTCTCCCATGATGTCTCCGTAGACCAGCCTGAAAGAGTCGATGAACAGCTGGGTCCACTGCTGCCTGTCAGCGCCTGGCTGAGCTAGCTTAGCCCGCTGAGCAGTGTAGGCCATGGTCGCCACGCCAACCCCATACTGCTGCTCCCGTAGGCTGCCCAGCAGGCTGGCTACGCCCCCGACTGAGGAAGGGACCATTGAGGGGCTGCCTTGCTCCGCAAGCTCCTCCCAGCGGGGAGGGGCCACGCTGTCGGGCACGCCCCCTCCTGCAACGAGCGGGAGAATGGTGGGCGGAAGAACGCGACACGACGCATCAACATCCCAAATGGTCACTTTCCAATATGGCCTTCGGTACACCCAATATGGCCCCCGGTACACCCACCAAGCATGTAGCTTATCTGTTCAACTCTTTCTAACTTGTTAGTTCTTCAAATCTCTGGTTGAATTATCTTCCTTACTATGTGGACATTGTATAGCATCAGGGTGATGGACTGCAATGCTCATGCAAACCTTTAAACGTTTTTTGATGTCAAACCAAGCGAGACAGTATGGAGAACGAGTTAAGTACTGGACTGGACTGCACTCAACCAGCAGGTTCAGGGTTCAAAACCAACTTCAATCACAGACCATAGGGCATGTGACAATTAAAAATCAGAATGAAAATCTGTAAAATGAAAATCCTCAGAATGATCTTACCAGTTTTACAGGGGAGGTCAGGACACACGATGACAGGATCTGAGAGGATGATAAACAGACAGAGAGAGAGGTTACTGATATTATACATCTACATGTAAAAGAGAGAAAGAGAGAGAGAGTGAATTGTTATTTATGTGTGTATTGTTTCTGACAGTGTGTGTAGGTGTGGACGTGTGTAGGTGTGGACGTGTGTAGGTGTGTACATACTGTAGGTGTGTGTGTGTGTGTGTACCTGGGCAGAGCACGGCCTCTATCTTGTCGATGAACTCCTCCGCCACCAGATCAGCGAAGCGTCTCATCCCCAGCACCCTCCCGTCTCTCTGACAGGCTATACTCTTCAGACTCTCATTCTCCTCTATCTGGTCAAACATGTCTCCTATACCGATGGCACTCACATCCACACTGGGGTCACTGCTCACACACACACACACACACACACACACACAGAGACACACACACACACACACACACACACACACACAAAGAGACACACACACACACACACAGAGACACACACACACACACACACACACACACACACACACACACACACACACACACACACACAGAGACACACACACGCACACACATACACAGAGACACACACACACATGCACATGCACACACAAATCGTCAGTAAGAATAGCTGATAAAACATATCCCAGACAACCCTCTCCCGGTCAGCTACCTGCAGAGGTATGTGAGCAGTGCGTCGTCGTCCCTGGGGTCGAACCGTCCGTCTGTGATGACCACCACGGTGACGTTGGCTTTAGCTCTGCGGCTGTCCTTGATCAGGTGGTCGTAGGCGTATTTCAGCGCTGACGGGGTCCACGTCCCGCCGGCTATCCATTCCAGACGCTTTACCGCATCCTACAGACAGACAGCCAGACAGAGGGTGGGAGGGTGTTAGCCCACTGAGCTAAAGCCTAGGCATTAGCCTGGGGAGCTAAAGCAAGTCTTCAGGTGTCAGGTAATGTAAGACGTGTGTGTCACTCCACTACCTTGAAAGCAGACAGGGAGTCGATCTTGGAGTCATTGAGATGGATGGCCTGGAAGGTTCCGCTGTGACTGTACTGAACCACGCCCACTCTGGTCCCTGGGGGGCGGGATTATTACTATGCTTGCATTAGCAAATTAAATCAAATCAAATGGTATTTGTCACATGTGCCGAATAGAACCTTACCATGAAATAAGCCCTTAACCAACAATGCAGTTCACAATTTGGCTTCACTGTAAGTAGATTGTATGTTTTAAATATTCAATAAAAAAATGAAATATATATATATTTAAAAAAATACAGTTCAAGAAATAGA